ACCTGAAGAAGTGCAGATTTGGACAGAAGGACATAGAGTATCTGGGCCACATCATTTCAGAAGGGAGGGTATCTGCTGATTCTTCTAAAGTGGCAGATATTGATTCATGGCCTGTTCCTAGCAACCTCAAAGGCTTAAGGGGATTTTTGGGGCTTACAGGTTACTACAGGAAATTTGTGAAAGGATATGGCAAATTGGCTAGCCCCCTCACTAACTTACTTAAAAAAGATTCTTTTAAGTGGTCAGTAGAGGCTAATTCTGCTTTTGAACAATTGAAGACTACTATGATGGACTTACCAAAGCTGACCATCCCTGATTTTAATAAGACTTTTGTAATAGAGACAGATGCCTCCAGGAAAGGCCTTGGTGCTGTGCTTATGCAGGAGGGGAGGCCATTAGCTTTCTGGAGTAAGGGTTTATCCTTAAAGGCTCAACAAAAATCAGTTTATGAAAGGGAACTCATGCCTCTAGTCCAAGCTATTCAAAAGTGGAGACATTATCTCTTGGGCAAACACTTTATTATCAGAACTAACCAGAGGAGCCTCAAATTTTTGACTGAGCAGAGGCTGTTCTCAGATGAACAATTCGAGTGGGCTGTGAAATTGGTGGACCTGGATTTTGAAATCCAATGCAAGCCTGGAAAGGATAACTCAGCAGTTGATGCCCTTTCTAGGAGATTGATGTACACTGCCTTGTCTGTGATATCTCATGATGACATAGATAATTGGGTTAGTGATTTAAGTCTGGACCCTAAATGGAAGAAGGTGATTCAGGACTTACTAATTTCTGCTACTAGTCATCTTGGTTTTGAATTAAAGCAAGGGGTCTTATACTACAAGGACAGGCTGGTTTTGGCTAAAACTTCTAATAGGATTCCTATCATACTTTCTGAGTGCCATGAAACTCCAACAGGGGGACATTCTAGTTACTTCAAAACCTACAAGAAGATATCAAGCTTTCTGTTTTGGGAAGGGATGAAGACAGATATCAAGGCTTTCATTGCTGAATGTGATACTTGCCAAAAAAACAAGTATTCTACCTTGGCTCCTGCAGGACTTTTGCAGCCTCTACCTATCCCTCAACAAGTATGGATGGATATATCCATGGATTTCATTGGAGGGCTTCCCAGATCTCAAGGGAAAGACACTATATTTGTGGTAGTAGATAGGTTGTCTAAGTATGCTCATTTCTTTGCCTTAAGGCACCCTTATTCAGCCAAGGATGTTGCTATGGTTTTCCAAAAAGGAGTGGTAAGACTACATGGGTTTCCAACCACTATAGTATCTGATAGGGATCCATTGTTCCTTAATTTATTCTGGAAGGAACTGTTTAAAATGACTGGAACTCAACTCAAGTTGAGCACTGCCTATCATCCTCAGACAGATGGGCAGACTGAGGTCACAAATAGATGCTTGGAGACCTACTTGAGATGTTTTGCAGGTCCTAAACCCAAACAGTGGGTAAATTGGTTGCACTGGGCAGAATATTGGTTCAACACCAACTATCACTCAGCTGCTGGAATGACCCCTTTTAGGGCTCTGTATGGGAGGGATCCACCTCTCTTATTAAGAGCAGGTACTATACCCTCTAAGGTGGAGGAAATCAATCAACTCATGAGCCAGAGAGATGGAATTTTAGATGAATTAAGGAGTAATCTAGCTAAGGCACAAAATTCCATGAAGCAGCATGCAGATAAACATAGAAGGAAGGTGGAATTTGAAGTTGGAGAATGGGTATTCCTTAAGTTGCAGCCATACAAATTAAAGTCCTTAGCCAACAGGCCCTATGCTAAGCTTGCTCAGAAGTTTTTTGGCCCTTATCAAATACTTAAGAAAGTGGGAGATGTGGCTTATCAGTTAGACTTGCCTGTTCATGCTAAAATTCATTCAGTCTTCCATGTGTCACTATTAAAGAAGGCCCTCAAGCATACTCAGCAACCACAACCATTGCCTCCTATGCTAAATGAAGAGATGGAACTAGAAGTGAGCCCTGAAGACATCACTGACAGCAAAGTTAATAAGCAAGGAGATGTGGAAGTCCTAGTGAAGTGGCAGAATCTTCCTAATCATGATTGCACTTGGGAATTGGCAACCACTATGAAGGAAAATTTTCCTAATTTCAAACTTGAGGACAATTTAGAAAGTTTAGGGGGGAGTATTGATAAGATCAAAGCCAATCAAAAGATTAGGCATGTGTATAAAAGAGGAATTAGGAAGGTTTGGAAGTTAAATAACTAACTTTCTAACTGAATTTGTTGGTTAGTTGTAGTTTTTGGGCTGTTAATAAATAGCCTTAGCTGTAATTGTAACTTAGGCATTTTTTAGAATAAACCAACTGATTGTGGAATCAGTGGCTGATTGTGGAATCAGTGGATCGTGGGATCCTTGTAAACTCATTCTTGTATACTCTTCTTCTCTATCAAATAAAACTTCGTTAGAGCCCTGCCAAGAACCTTTAGGTTTGGCTTAGGGACATTTCTTTTCTATTCTTTCTATCTTTCTCTACTTACTGTTGATACCAGTGTTATCAATAACCTTATCAAAAAGCTTGGAAGATTTCCCGATAACCAGTAGTGAAAACTTCTTTATAATATCATCTAATTGTAATGTTAGATTATTAATTAAGTTTGACAATCACCAGCTAAGAAGTCAACTTTTTTAATAATGTGCATTTGATGATTATGCTAATACATTTATATTGATGGTATATCAAAATTACTAATTCCATTCCTAAATGACTGACGTTTAAATTTTGCACTATTAATCCAGAAAAATGAATTAAATGAAGTTATTTAGTGAAAAAAAATTATATCACTAGACGAAATCAATCAAATCATATCACTTAGGAACAAATGCATGATCATTTTACTCCATAAAATTTTGATAGTGCAGGTCTTTTTTTTCTTATGGATTGGAATTCATTAACTAAGGTTTTATTTGGCATAACTACAGGATAAGTTAGTTGAATGATTATTAACTAGCTAAATGCTTATAAGTTCTAAGCTGTATGAGCTAAAAGTTGAGTTTGGATAAGTAGTTGTTTGAATTAAAACTATTTGATAAGATTAGTTGTTACCATTGTTTCAAATTGCAGACCGCATCACTTGATACAACCGTCGGCCGCCGCCATCATATGATACCGCAATAACGGCGTGATATTGAATCATAATGACGTAGCTGCATCGGGTCGTAGCACAACCGCATCGAATCACATTTGGGTCATACCAAGCCGCATTGGACCTCATCGAATTCAAAAATATTTTTTTAATCACACAAAAATTCACACCGCAATCACATTAAACGCAATTGTGATGACAATCACGACCACAATTTTTTTTTTGTTTAACCAAGGGAATCCCCTCACCCTATGGGGAAAAAGCTAACTTCATTCCAACAATTGTAGCTCCTAGGAGTCGAAATTTTAACATTTTGTTCTATTTAGGATCCAGTAAGGCCTTGTTGGTTTACGGCCACAATTTAAAACACTGTTTGATACTGTAAAAGTATAAATCAAATAACCTCCCAGCTTATAAGCAACATTTAGTTTATAAAAAAATTAAGTTAGCATTCGCTAATTTGTCAAATAAACTAGTCTCTACTATAATGATATACGTTTTTGGTACTCATAACTTGAGGAATAAAATAATACCCTGGGAGAAGTCGATGTAGGAGTTGATTTTTCCGAATTGAAGCCACTTTCGCGTTTCTGTTCAGCCTCAGGAAGCGTAGTAGTAGTAGTAGTTGTTGTTGCAGTATTAGAAGACTCCTTTGAGTTTGAAACATTGACACCATTTTCCCCTTCAACACCATCAACGTCGTCGTTTTTACTATCACCATTAAAACACTTAAACCTATAGAAATTGACACGCTTCCCAAACTTCAATCTATGTGTAGAGAAGAAACACGAAGAAGAAGAGGAATTGGGGAATTGAATCCTCTCCTTGAAAGCGAGTCGAACCGGGTTGGAGTGGAATTCAGAGTTCACAGGCATGAAACTGTAACTCGTTAACGTTCCCATAGCAACAGTGAAAAGTGCAACAACAATGGTTGTGAATGAAACGACAGATGAAGGAAGCGTTGCGTTGCGTTTCAATGGTCCATTTGAAGTTAGGAAGAAGAAGAGAAGATGTTGCAATTGGTTTTTGGATGTGGTTGGTCACTCATTATAGGCTAAGGATAAAAATATTATATATTTATATTTTTGGTAAATAGGAAACATATATTAAATGTCTTCTTACTTCTTCAACATATATTAAATGAGTTTAATATATATAGTGTAAGATTTTTAAGAGTTAATAATAATTAAAAAAATACATGGACATAAAATTCTTACACTAACTATTTATTTCTCATAATAAATATCTTCTTCATCATCTTTTTTAAGTTTTGTCACGATTTTGAAATATATTTTTCCCTTTGAAACTTGATCACACCATTATCAATGGTATATTGGTCTAATGGTGAAGATGTCATTCTCAACTCAAATGATTAATTCTTGTATGCAATATTTGTTAGGAAATATAGTCACAACCCAAAATGAATTAATTCTTTAATCATAGACTATAGGTTGAAGTGACACATTTGTTTATAAAAAAATTTAGTCACACTCCTCAACTCACGTATTTAGGGGTTGTTTGTTATAGTTTATGTTTATTATTGAAAAAATAAGTTGAAAATATAAACTATGAATGTTTGGTTTGGCAACCAAATGAAGTTTATAAATTCGATTTTTTTCTTAAAAAAATAAGTCAAAAGTAGAATCTCCAAAATTATGGGTTGGTTTATTTTTTTCCCAATTTTTTCTATTTCTCATTTTACACAATCATAACTTTATATTTCTCATCATTTTTACTCTCAACATAACTTTTCACATCATCAGCACCCCTCTCATTAATTACTACATAATTGGTTATATGAAAAAATAACAATTACATGAGGTTGAACAATTGATAACTAAGTAACAGCTATATGAACAATAATGAGAATATTACTTCAAACAAACACTAATATGAACCGATAACAACTTAAGTGGTTGACAATAATAACTATGTGTACTCATATCTCATAAAATCCACTAAAACCACAACCTCATTTTCCTCATTCTCCTTTTCATCACTAAACTTAAGTTCTAAACACAACCTCATTGATGTTGATCCATCTGCACCTAGTCATCCTCGCATCTCCATAACAGACTCACTATTTGGTATTATCATCCTCCTCTTTATTCTCCTTTTTTATTTCTCACACTTTCTTTTTTGTTTTGTGGTATTGGTTTTTGGTTATAAGTCTAGTGTTGGTTTTGTGGTATTGATTTTTGGTTATGAGTCTACAAAATAGAATCTATCCCAAACATGCCTTTTGTTTCTAAATCTAGTGTTGAGTTTTGACTATTGTGGTTACAAAGTTAAATGATATTTGTTTGATTCTTGAGTTTCTCGATCTAGTGTTTTGTGATATTGGTTTTTTGTTATGAGTGTTTTATCTCTTACCTTTTGTTTCTTTTTTGGTTACAAAGTTATTTGTATATGCCAATATATGTAAATTCAGGTTTGTTTCTATTTAATAGTAAAAATAGGATGAAAAATGTTTAAGAGAAAAATAAGTCTCCGATGGATCATCCCTCTAATGAAGGAGAAAGAAAATCAATAAAATGGGAAGATAGTACTATTGAGCTTTTAATTGATTGTGCTATAGAACAAGCAAATTTAGGGGAACAGACCGGTAGTGGCTTGACATCAACCTAGTGGAGGAAAGCTAAGGCAAAATTCAAGATTGTGAATAAAATGTCACTTGATGAAGTTCAAATTAAGAACCATGTTGAACTAGTTCCCTAACGGGACATGAATGGGTTCAAGAACTATTATATGGGCATGACATCCGTTGTTATCAAAATTTTAGAATGGAAAAACATGTTTTCACGACCTTTTGTGATAAATTAGTTGAACATGGATTAAAGTATACTAAAAATATGGGGGTGTTTGAAATGGTTGGCATGTTTATGCTTGTTGTTGGACATGGAACAGACAATATAATTATACAAGAAAGATTTCAACACTTAGGTGAAACTGTTAGTAGATTTTTCCACAAAGTTTTAATGGCTTTTTTGAAGTTATCCATGGAACTGATCAAGCCACAAGATCCTGATTTCAATAATGTTCATTCACGGATTCAACATAATCCAAAGTATTTGCATTTCAAAAATTGCATTGGATCAATTGATGGAACTTATGTTCCTTGTGTAGTGCCTCAAACTGAGCATGCAAAATATATAGGTAGAAAGGGGTACACGAGTCAAAATGTCATGGTCGTGTATAATTAGGATATGTGCTTCACATTTACATTGGCAAGATGGGAAGGGAGGGCACATGATGCTAGATTTTTTTTATGAAGCACTTCTTGATAGAAACTTAAAATATTTGCATCCTCCCAATGGTTTGACAATCAATTTTCTTCGATAGTTTCATTTTAATTAATACTATTTACAATCTAATAATATTATTGAGTTCTAAATTCTCTTCACATTTTTAATTGTTTGTTAGGTAAATATTATTTGGTAGATGCTAGTTATCCAACACCATATGGATACTTGGGGCCATATAAATGTGAGCGATATCATCTTCCCGAATTCAAGCGAGTTATTGGATTTAATAGTCAGAATGAAATTTTCAACTATCATCACTCTAGCTTAAGGAATACAATAGAAAGAACATTCAGTGTTTGGAAGAATATATTTGTAATTTTGCATCGCATGCCAAATTTAAATATTCTACTCAGGTCCAACTAGTTATTGCTACATTGACAATACATAATTTTATTAGACAAAATAGCATATGAGATCATGAGTTTAAGAATGTTGATGATCATGATGGTGATATACCAAATGTTGATGATGATGCTACCAATGATGGTGATGGTGATATCGCTGAACACATGGATAATATATCTTCTGAACACACGCGTCTTGTTTGAGATTCAATTAAGGATGAGATTATTAAAACTTTTATATAAACTTAACATTGTGTATTATTTATTTTGTGAATCATGTAATTCAAGTTTAGCAACTTCTATTTATTTGTGTGTTATGTTTTAATATTAATATTAGTCTTTAAATACAAAAACTAACCAACTCAATAAGTGCAGAATACGAAAAGTTGAAACAGAAAACTTCTGAAAATACGAAACGAACAATCTTCTGCATAGATGACTCTCGCCTTGAGCGGCAGACTCTCGCTCAGGCGGGAAACTTATAGAAAGTTTGGTCTTTGACTTTGGGTTTCTCGCTTGAGCGATAGGCTCTCGCTCAGACGAGAAACTTACAGAAAGTTTGGTCTTTAAATATATATGATGATAAATATTAAAAAATGTATATTTAAAAAATAGTGTAAAAAACAACTAAAATAATCATAACATAAATAAATAACTTCATACCATTTTCTGTAATTTACTATTTAAAAACAATCTTTATACCATACTCAAACAAAACAATTAGTTTATATTCAATTTTCAGTTAAAGTACTAAAACACAAACAAATTATAATCTTAACAGTTTATAATCTCATAGTTTATAATCTCACAGTTTATAAACTGAAAATAAAAACATAATTTGTACCAAACCTACACTTAGGTTTATTCCCTTTTGAAGCATGTTTCTACATGTAGTTGGAGGAAGATTCATCTAGTGATTCCCAAACTCCAAATCATAAGACATAATCTTATGTTCATTTAATAATTTTATATAATTTAATAATTTCTTACATTATGTACATAATCTTAAACATAAAAAATATATGAAATAGATGGAATTTATCTTTCAATTATTCTCTTCTCTAATAAATAAAATGTCAAAACAATCAATAAATGTCACACTCATTCATTAAGACCACCACATATCTTCATATAAAATTTATTTTTGTATCTTTAAACATGACAAAAATTTTCTCCTCTCATAATATTTGTTGCTGGAATAGTTTGATAATGGTTATGATAATATATAACTTTGAGATGAAAATTATTGTCACTGAAATAAATAATAAAACAATTATATTTACTAATTTATCTGCACTTTAACTTTTTGGAAATCACTTGCCATTGCATGATGCTCAACATAACCTTGTAAACGTTCAAAGTCAAATAATTAAAGATGTTCAATATATTGTTGACATAAAATTCGTTGGGAAAAAATGCAAGTATAAAATATGATGACATCCAATAAAACCAATGGTTTGATTATTTTAGTGATTAAAATTTTGAATTGAATCATTTGCAAGATTAATTACCCTCATTTGTGAAGTTTAGGGTACATGGTTTTGAAAACGAAAATGATAACGTTGTGAGGAAATGAAAACATGGAATGAAAACTGTTTTTTTTTAAAACGAAAATTGACCATAAGATATCAGCCAAACCTAAAATGATAAAATATAAACTTTATACATATTACAATTAGGACAATGAACTGTTTGTTATTTATAATTACTTATTAAACTTTAAAGTAAATTACACTCATATCCTCTTGAGTTTTAGTGAAATTACACAAAACACTATTTATATTTTTGTCATTATACGAATCATCCCTAATTTTGCACATATGTTACACTGACTACCCCTGCATGATATAAAAGTATAATATTTTAAACAAAAAACATATGATGTGTGTAATTAATTAAACAAAATATTGTATATTGTGTAGACAAATTCAAATAATATAATAGTCAATGCGTCTTCATTATTTGACTCGTTATAAAATAGTAAAAGAGTTATTTAAACATTTCTTTGAAATTTATAATGTATTTTTTAATGACACAAAAATAATAAAGAAACACTCGCTTTTGTACTATTTGAAGTGTTACACAATATACAATATTTTGTTTAACTTAATTACATTCATCACACGTTTTTTCTTTAAAATATTACACTTTTATAACATGCAGGGGTAGTCAGTGTAATGTATGTATAAATCTAGGGGTAATTTGTGTAAGAGGGAGGGGTGGTTGGTGTAAGGACAAAGAAGGAAGAAGTGATTTGTGTAATTTCGTTAAAACCCAAGGGATGTGAATGTAATTTACTTTAAACTTTATGGTTTGGTGAAATTTGTCTTTGTATAAATAAATATTTAAATTACTAATAGATTAACAAAGAAATCACTCCAATCAAACTTACAACAGTATTAATGCAACAATGTAAATTAGGCAACGTTAATATTGAGAGGAAATCACCATCAAAATACAAAATGATTTAAAACAATATGAGTAAATATAAGACTTAAAAGTGGTTAATGTAGTAAGCAATATTATATATATAATAAAATAAAATAATAATAATGTAAGAGAGAGTGTAGAAACAAAATATATGAGTTTGAATATTTGATTATTATTAATTCAACATAATACCTATACAGATATCATTTTTTCCTAATACTTAAAATTTAAAGGACAATTAAAAAGAAAAAAACATTTCATGATAACTATTTTAAAGATGAGGATTCATTAGCTCTGAGAGTAAGTTTCTAAATTTACTCCACATCTTAGTCATCAATTCTAAAATATCTAATAGTTTAACTCTACTTACTAATTAAACGATTGGATTTTTCTACCATCTAATAGTTTTTTAAACAATTAATAAACAACACAAAGTTTGAGGTCTTTTTTTTTATAGAGTTTTCCAAATAAAAAAAGAGATTTATTTTCAATTTTCAATTTTATGTTGACAGTAAAGTTACGCTACGCTGTCTATGAAGTAGTAGACAAATAGAGTAAACTCAAAATTCCAAAAAAATCCTTTGCCCGCGTTAAAATCTCGCCTTAAAAATAACGCTACCCAAATTATAAAAACAAAGCGTGCCCTATTTACTCTTCTACTATTTTTTATCAAAGTCATGAAACTATTCTTCTTCTTCTTCTCTCACACCACCATCACTGTTCTTCTTCTTCTTCTTCAATTCTTCTTTTCTTCCTCTAACGCCATTAATAACGATACCCCACTCCTTCTCAAAGGTTATATATTCTCCTTCTTCCACTTCATTTTTCTTTTACTTAGGTTTTCTCTTTTAAACCAATCAAATTGGAACTTGCATCTATTCGATTCCCTTTTTTGGTTACTAAAAATTGTTACACGCAGTGAATGTTGTATATTGAGGTTGAGGTTCACATGGGTATGGGAAATTGTTGCTATGTATGATGTTTTAGTTATCATAGTTACATGGTACGTGGTACTGGTTCTGGTGTGCCTGTGCCCGGTTTTATGTTTACCGGGACCACGTCTTATGTCCCAAAAAGTGTATCATTTCGTGTGTCACTTCATGTGATTGGTCAGAAAAACAATTTTAACTGATGGAAGTGACACATGGAGGGTGTACAGTAGATGTGCTCCTATGAACCCTAATTTGGTAGGCGGCGGTAGATACCCGAAAATATGGACCACATCTTATATCTCGAAAAGTGTACCATTTAGTGTGTCACTTCATGTGATTAGTCAGAAAAACAATTTTAACTGATCACGGGAAGTGACACATGGAGGGTGTACAGTAGATGTGCTCCGCTGAACCCTAATTTGGTAGGCGGCGGTAGATACCCGAAAATATGGACCACTTCTTATGTCCCAAAAAGTATACCATTTAGTGTGCCACTTCATGTGATTGGTCAGAAAAACACTTTTAACCAATAACACACATGGAGGGTGTACACTAGATGTGCTCTTTTGAACCCCGTAATTTGGTAGGCGGCGGTACATACCCAAAAACATGGAGGGTGTATTGTAGATGTGTCACTTCATGTGATTGGTTGTTGTTTATTTGGGGAATTATAAGAATCACTTGTCTTTTTCTGTTAGCTGGGTGTATGTTATACTGAATTTTTCACTTAATTTTACAAATGTGTGTGCTTGGTACACCCTCTTGTCCTATTTGTAAGACACTTCTAAAATTACTTACTTTTATTAATTAAAAAAATGGTGGTCCATTGCACGAATTTCCGACTTAGTGAGGTCTGGGAAAGGCAGATGTATGCAGCCTTACCCCGTAAGTGGAGACAGTGTTTCGATGATTTGAAATATTATTTGATTATAGTGTCACATTATTATTGCTTCCTGATTAACATTCTCATTCGAAACAACAAATTAGAGATGCTCAAAGCTTTTAATAGTGACAAATGAGAAAAAAGAGTCGATGTTGTATAAAAAATGTAGTGTCTTATATAAAGGACCATGAAATGACTTATAATAAGGACCAGAAGCAGTATATTAATTATGCTTTCTTGTATTTTTTCTATTCCTACAAATTTCATTTGAGAAGAATCTCATCATGATTTAACTGCAGGTGTCGATATTGAAAGGCCGGTTCTTGATGTTTCCCCTTCCGTACTTTCCGGGCATTCTGCTACTCATGGTGTTAAAGACACTTTACGATGTGAGCGTGTTCAAGTTTCTGGTATTTCCAGATTAAAACTCGGGAGCTATTCTAGTTCATTTCACATTACTTTGGCTCCCTCGGCTGCTATCCCAGAGAGGTTACATAACAAAATTCAAGTTTGTTTTCACAGGTAAAGTGCATAAGCTGGATATACAGTGCATGGTATTCTATATTCATTTTTTGTCACTGCACCCTCTCTTCTAAGGTGCATGTTTATTGTGCATACAGACTCTCTAGATTCAAACTTCGAAAAACTCGTCCAAGATTGCCATTTCTTATTTTCGAAGTATGTGCAGGAATAATTCACTTGGATGGTGTCGATGTGAAAAGGATGAATGGAGGAGTGTTCAGAAGGGGGTGTGGAGTGCTATTATGTCACCTTATGAAAATAGATATGTTGATGTGAGGATCAATGGTGACATATCAGACTCTGTTACAGTTGCTCTTGAAGAAGGTTTGTTTCTTCCATCTCGTAAAAGGGGAAACTATTTATTGTTTTGTTATGTTTCTCCTTGCAGTCTTCTTAGAAAAAAATTGTTCGGCACTTATT